GGAAGAAGCAGAAAATGAAGGGTATGTGAGAAGACAGGGAGGAAGTATACTGTTCCCAGGAGTAGTGAAGCTATGTGGTGGAGGCAGAATAGTTTAGACGTAATGTGCTAGCATTAGAGCCTCAAAGAAGGCTTTGGAACAAAGGAGTTACAAGAGGTAGTGCTGAACAAAGAATTGATCTGGCGGCAGTGTTTATTTTAAACCCAAAGGGGCAGGACTAAGGGAGTGGAGTGGAGAGAATGCTATCTGGGTCAGGCTGGGGCCTAGATACCAGGGCACCTTTGTGGCACTAGCTGAGTGGAATCCCATAAGCGACCTCACTTGGCTGAGCATCTGTTTCCTCACCTGTAAAATGATATGTCAGAGGTTTCTGGGAAGATTAGCATTTGCCAATTATTTTCCTGGGTGCTAGAATGTGTCAGACACTTTGCTAGGTATCAGGGGTATAAACAATGGACAAGAAAAGACACAGGCTCCGTCTTCCATGAAATTACCATTTGTACACAAGACAAACAATAAAAAAGTCCACAGAGAGATTAAAAACTGTGGAGTGTGTCTAAGGTGATGCTGTGAAGGAATGTAGGCAGGATGAGCACCTAGTTTTTTGAGATCCAGGGAGCCTCCTGGAAGAAGTGGACTTTATTAAAAACCAGAGAATGGAGAAGGAGACATCAGGCAATGAGCAGAGGGAAGGACATTTCACAGAGAGGAATATAACATGCAGAGGCAGGAGGAGCTTGATGTGTTCCAGGGAACACAGAGAGCTCCGGAGCACAAAGGCAAGGTGGGAGAGACTGGCCTAAATACGACAGGGAGGAGGGCAGTGCTGGATCCGGCAGGAGTCTGGATTCTACTCTAAAGGAAATGTAAGTGGGAGGGTCAAGCCCAGGTGTGCATTTTATTTTACTTCACTTTACTTTATTTTTGTTAATCTTCACCAGAGGATATTTTCTCACTGAGTGGAAGGAAGAGGGAGAACAGAGAGAGAAATATCGATGTGAGATAGACACATCAGTTGGCGGCCTCCCACATGCACCCCAATCAGGGCCAGGGTTCAGGACCAGGGATCGAACCTGCACAGATATGTGCCTCCAACCAGAATGGAACCAGGGACCCGGGACCCTTCAATTTGCAGGTCAACGCTCTTATCCACTAAACCAAACCAGCCAGGGCCAGGTGTGCATTTTATTTTATTTTTTGTTAAATTCTTACCCGAGGATATTTTTCCATTGATTTTTAGGGTGAGTGGAAGAGAGAGGGAAAGAGAGAAATATCAATGTGAGAGAAACATATTCAATGATTCCCGCCACCTGCACGTGCCCCAACCAGGGCGTGGGCCGGGTAGCAGCCTATAACCAAGGTATGCGCCCCTGACTGGAATTGAACCCCGGTCCCTGGGCCACAGGCCAGTGCTCTATCTATTGAGCCAAACCATCTAGGGCCAGATGTACATTTTAAAATTCTTACTCTATCTAGTGCTGAACAGAATTTGAGAGGGCAAGAGGGGGGATAAGGTGTTGGTTAAGAGGCTGTATCCTGCAATAGCCTAGGTCCGTGGACGGCAAACTGCGGCTCATGAGCCACATGTGGCTCTTTGGCCCCTTGAGTGTGGCTCTTCCACAAAATACCACGGCCTGGGTGAGTCTATTTTGAAGAAGTGGCGTTAGAAGTTTAAATTTAAAAAATTTGGCTCTCAAAAGAAATTTCAATCGCTGAACCGTTGATATTTGGCTCTGTTGACTAATGAGTTTGCCGACCACTGGCCTAGGTGGTGATAGATGAGGGTGGGGCAGTGGAGTTGAAGGGAAGCGGATCAATTCAAGAAATATTTTGTTGAAGGTGCTGAACAATGAATTGGCCTGGCAGAAGTATTCACTTTAAGTTGAATCAAAGATCTTGTAATGAAAATATGTAAACTGCCAGAATGCTTCACACTTAAAGCTTTTATTTTGAAAAATAAAATACAAAAGTCATTACATTGTAAATGTATACAGTAATCCCTTATCTTCTCAGAAACAATACAATTTAAATAATTAAGATATTTAGTATTATCCACATCAATATGTTTAAACAGAATAATTATTCTATAAAACCAAGAGACACTGAACAATTTTTTATGTACAGAATGCCAATTTTAATCCTCTCCTTTAAAACAAAGTTTGGAATCTGGTTAGAAAGGATAAGGACCAGAGCAGTTTTAACAGAAAGCGCACGTCCCTTCTGGGCTCCTAATCTGCTGGGGTGTGCATGCAATAGAATCAAGAGCGCTGTGCTCAGGACACACATCACTCAGGAAGGCCCAGATGTGTTCTTCATCCCACCCTCTCAGTGGAGGAGTCTGACAAATGGACAGGAGATGCGGGCCATGGAATGTACACTCCCTGGATCTCAGCAGGTGACGGCCAGTCTTAGATGAAAAGGCAGAAGTCTTTCCTAGGGCAAACAAAAGGAATTCGGTTACGGTGTGGAGTCCCAGTTCCTTCTTCCCTTGCACCAGGTGGCCTCCTACCCAGCTGTGGGCCTGCCATGAGCCAGGTAGATGAGCAGGAGGATCAACAATTCTGAGAACAGTTAACCTCAGGACCATGGGAGAGGCACGCTCTCCCTCCGTCTGGATTGAATGGAGATGTGCAAAACTGCTCCAATGTGCAAAACAGGCAGATGGCAGGCAAAACAAGGGCTGCTCCTGCCCATTTCTAAGTGACTGCAACTGACATAGCAACTGAAGCTACTGCGGGGACACTGGTAGGCCGTCAAATGTCCAGAGGTCCAACACGCTGACTCTTTTGAGAAAGTGGATGCTAAGGAAGGTTTAGATAACACAGCAACTGTCATCAAATGACAAAGGATCCAAAAGACAAGAAGATAGAGACTGGTATCAGTCCTGAGCTGCTCCGTTGTCTTCCTAGCCTCTTCGGAGTCCTTCCCTCAATGCAGATGGGTGCCTACAGGCCTCGATTGGCAAACAAGAATGAAATGCTAGAGTCCACTTGACATGGCATTATGTCTTGTAAAACAAACACTATACTTTCAGGGATCATGTCTGTACTTTGTTACTAGAGAAGTTTGTCTGGATGTACCTTGTAAAACAGCAGTCAATAAATAAAGCCATATATGGTGTTTTGTGTGTGTGTGTGTGTGTGTGTGTGTGTGTGTGTGTGTGTGTATGTGTGTTGGGGAGGGGATTTATAAATTTTGAAAGTATTTTGGATAAACAAAATTATCCAAGGCCTGATAACAACTGCTGGGATATGCATACCCATAGATATAAGTCTAACATTTAGTATTTGCTACTTAACAAAAGGACAAACGTAAATCCTAAAACCTATTCATGTTATTAGCTCATTGTCATCATGATTTTGACATGGCATAGCAGTATTCATGTGCTTATACTAACTATAATCCACAAACACACTGCAAGTCATACAAATCTCCTATTCAAATTATTCAATCTCAATTTTCTCATCAGTACAACAGGAATAGTACTACCTACTTGCCAGAGTGCCTGGACGCTTGAATGAACTCATTCAAATACATACATATATTTATCATAGATGTTGTTTCACATATTATATATTATACTAGAGGCCCAGTGCATGGATTTGCTCAGGGCATGTCCAACCTGTCTGGCCCAGTCCCGATAGGCTGGACCCCAGCAGCAAGCTAACCTACCTGTCGGAATGTCTTTCCCCTGGTGGTCAGTGCGCATCATAGCAACTGGTCAAATGGTGGAATGAATGGTATTAGGCTTTTATTATATAGGATACCATATAATATATACCATTTATATACTACATATAAAATGCTTAGCATTTTATGCTTGGTATGTACTCAATACATGGCTATTATATAAAATAAAAATAAAACAGAAAGCAAAAATCAAATTTTCAAAAAGCTTTTCAAGTTCCAAATGATCAAAGGCATCACCACATCATTCGGAGTAAAATAGGATCTTCAGCGAGTATGGGAGAGGGGTGTAAGCTCTGAGTGGCTCCATCAGGGGGTGTGGGTCCAGAATCCAGCTTTGCCACTAAGTGGCTGGTGTCCCCGGACACACACCTGGTGATTACTCATATACAAAGGGGGCTTATAGGGCATGGCTGGCCTAGCCCAAACTCAAATCCTTAGCTACTGTGAGACAATGCAAGTGACAAAGATAAGACTCATAATACATTAAAATCAGTAAAGGCAGACTTGAAGAACAAATCAAATAACCCTCCCAAATGTTAGTACATTTGGGAGGGTTATTTGATTATGTGCATGTCAGCACACAGAGAAAGCAGGGTGGAGGGACTGGTGTTCTTCAGCCTTGGGTTCTCCGACCTGAGATGTGACCTTGACAAATCACCTACACTCTCTAGGATCAGTTGCCTTACCAGCAAAGAGATGGCTGAAGGTGATGTTCTCCAGTTTCTTTCAGCTAAAATATCTTATTATTTTAAAAAAAAAATATTGATTTTTAATATATATATATATTGTTTTTTACAGAGAGGAAGAGAGAGGGATAGAGGGTTAGAAACATCAATGAGAGAGAATCATCGATCAGCTGCCTCTTGCACATCCCCTACTGGGGATGTGCCCGCAACCAAGGTACATGCCCTTGACCGGAATTGAACCTGGGACCTTTCAATCCCCAGGCTGACATTCTATCCACTGAGCCAAACCAGTTTTGGTGAAAATAACTTATTCTTTATCATACTGAAAATAACTAACACCATTATTTTGCTTACTCTGTACCAGGCTTTTTGCAGACATTATTATGGTTAATTTTTGCTACCACTCTCTTGTTAATATTGTCCTTTTACAGACGAGGAACTAAGAAACAGAGAAGTTGAGTAATTTGCTCAGTGTCACAAAGAGCCAAGATTCCAACCCAGGCCAACTGACTCCAGTTGGCCACCCTGGCCACCCTGCCCGCCTACAAGAGCCTAAGCAGGGAAACCCACAGACCAGTATGTCCCCCAAACCTCACCTTAGGATGTAAGAGGTTCCTGGCTCTGCTACTCCACTTGCTCAGCCTGTCGAAAAAAAAGCAAAAGCTGTTTTAAAGTCCTCAAAATTGGTTAGCATGTGAAATGACAGCTCTGGTCAAAATATCCGGTGTAGCTTGCAGGCTCTGATTAGACTTTCTACTGAACTCAGCCTGCTACTGCCGTATAATAAATAATTACACTGGCCTTTGTCCCTGGTTCCTGATGGGGAGACTTAACTTCTTGGAATTCCTGCGAAACGAGCCCCTTAGGTCACACCTGAGTTTACTCTAAGAGGTGAGATGACTCGGAATGGGGCTGCTCACCAGAAACAGCAGCCCTGTGTGTAGAGGGTTGGGGCTTTCAGCCAGCCCAACCTCTGGATAGGGTTCATTGACTGGGGATTGAGCTCAATCACATGGCCAATGATCCAATCAATTGTGCCTCTATAATTAGAACTCAGTGGAGCTTCCTGGTTGGCGAAGGCTCGGATGTGTGGGAGGAAGAAGTACCCTGATTCCAAGGGGAATGGGCGCAGAAACTGTCCGAGACCCTCCCAGACTCTGTCCTGTGTCTCTTCAGGTGGCTGGTCCTGACTGTATCCTTTATAAATATAAAACTGTAACCACAAGTACAAAGCCTCCCTGAGATCTGCGAGCCATTCTAGCTGAGTTCAAGGGTGAGGGTTCAGTGGGCTTCAGTGATCATTTATTAGAAGTTAACCAAAGTCTTTTATAGGCCCTTTCTAAGTACGTGTGGGATGCAGTAAATGAAACTACCAGAATAAGGGGAGTGAAGTGCTGAATACACCTTTTGCCCAATTTTAAAAATATCTTTCTTATTGATTTGTAGAAATTTTCTATATTCCACAGATAAGACATTTGTTTCAAATATTTTCTCCCACTTACTTTTTACTCTAGCTATCATGCTCTCTGACAAGTAAACATTCTCAATTTTAATGTAGTCCAACTTATCCATTTTAAAATTAATGATTAGTATTTTCAATGATTTAAGAAATCCTTCCCCCCTTTTTTCTTTATTAATTAAGATATTTCACATGTGTCCTTATTCCCCCATTCATGCCCTCTACCCCCCTGTTGTCCGTGTCCATTGGTTAGGCTTATATGCATGCATACAAATCCTTTGGTTGATCTCTCCCCTTTACCCCCCCCGCCCTCCAATACCTTCCCTCTGAGGTTTTATGGTCTGATAGATGCTTCTCTGTCTCTGGATCTGTTTTTGTTCATCACTTTATGTTGTTCATTATATTTCACAAATAAGTGAGATCATGTGATATTTATATTTCTCTGACTGGCTTATTTCGCTTAGCATAATGCTCTCCAGTTCCATCCAAGCTGTTGTAAATGATAAAAATTCCTTCTTTTTACAGCAGCATAATATTCCATTGTATAGAATACACAGTTTTTAAAAATCCTCAGTTTTTCCACAGTATTTAAAAATCGTCCTTTCTTGAGGTCATAAAGATATTTTCTTCTTTTGTCTCCTAAAAACTTTATTATTTTGCCTTTCACATTTAGGTCTATTTTGCCTTTCACATTTAGGTCTAACCCACCTAGAAATGATTTTTGTGTATGCTGTGAAGCAAGGGTGTTCCTTTAGTTTTAGTCTTAAATACCCTTTCTTGACCCCTTCAGACTTATGCAAAACAGCCTTAGAATTTGACATTCCTTCAAGATTCTGAATCTTGGCTTATTCTCTGGCTCCAAATGCCATAGCCTGTGAGTGAGTGACAGCTTCTTCATGGATTCACCCAGGTTTCTGGGAATTTGTGCCCTGCCCAGGCTCAAAGCCTGCAACCTCTTATATGCAAAAGTCTATCACAGTTTTTTTTTTTGTTTGTTTTGTTTTTTATATAGATCAGGAGTTCCTTGAGAAGATTTAAAAATTTTTTAAATGTTTTAAATTATAGTTGATATACAATATTATATTAGTGTCAGGTGTATAATATAGTGATTAGGTATTTATATAATTTACAAAGTGATCACCCCAATAAGTCTAAGTACCCATCTGACACCCTATATAGTTAATTAAAATATTGACTAAATTCTTTATGCATTAAATTGTTAAAACCAACAAATACCAGAGGCCAATCTTTCTACTACAAGCACATATTATCTTTAAAAAGATCGCTTCCATACCAGAGCCTATCTATTACACATCAAAAGGAGAAAACAGACACCATACCTGAGGTTTTTCTTTAAGAAATTCAGGTAACTGAAATTCTCCTTTATAGACCTGGAAAAAGAAAGCAAACAGGTACTGTCATCGTCACTTCTGAGCTTGCAGTACCTGATGGTGGGTGGGATTACTGTTTCATTCTTGTGAATTTTAAAACTGGAGGGAAGCCGGCCAGTTCAAGAGCAGCCAGGGACGAAGGACTGAGTGAAACCCATTCACTCTGATCTCCCCTGTTCCACATTTGCCCCAGTGCTTCCAAAAGTGGCCTGGCTGGGAGAGGTCTCAGAGTATCGGTAAAAGGAAACACAACATCCCAACATCCCAAGTTCTAATCATTTTAACTGAGCGAGAAACGAGCTCTAGTGCATCTCTCTCAAGCAACCAACACAGAATTCCCACAATGTAGGAATAGGCTCCACCTGATTTCCTTTTGAAATCTCCAACCTTAAAACCCTGGATTTGATCCTATCTTTCTTAATGGACCTAAAGTTCCCATAATTTAAATATTAGATGATTCTTAAAATGATACATACTTTTAACCTCATAAAATCTTATGATTATTAATTTTTTTAAATCCCAAACTAGTCACACAACATTAAGATGTGATTGACTGATTGATTGATTTTAATCCTCACCCAAGGATAATGCTTATTGCTTTTTGGAGAGAGAGGAAGGGGGAGAGAGAGACATCAATGTGAGAAAGAAGCATCAATCAGTTGCCTCCCATACATGCTCTGACCAGGGATTGAACCTACAACCCAGGTATATGCTCTAACTGGGCATTAAACCTGTGACCCTTTTGTTCCATGGGATGATGTTCCAACCAGCTAAACCACCTGACCAGGGCAATCTCATAACTAAAACTTTTCTTTTTTTCTATATGTAAAATTATGTTTCTAATGCCAGTGATTAGGAAATACTTTATTAAAAATAATACCACTTATACTAATATTAAAAACCCCCACACCTGCCGGGACTGGTTTGGCTCAATGGATAGAGCGTCAGTTTGGGGACTGAAGGGTCCCGGGTTCGATTCCGGTCAAGGGCATGTACCTTGGTTGCGGGCATATCCCCAGTAGGGGGTGTGCAAGAGGCAGCTGATCGATGATTTAATCTCATCGATGTTTCTAACTCTCTATCTCTCTCCCTTCCTAAAATATATTTTTTTTTAAAAAAAACCACACCAAATACCTGAGAATAAATCTAATAAAATACATATCAGACAAGACCAAATAAAATAGAGAAACATACTATTTTCAGGGGCTGGGGAAGGGGTAATTTGAAGCTGATTGTAGAAGTTATATGGAAATGCCTAAGACCAAAACTACTCAAACTAATCTTAAAAAGAACAAAATAGGAGGGGCTTATTCTACCAGATATTAAGACATTATTATATAGCTATAATTGAGCTATATTATCTATAATAATAAAAGCATAATATGCTAATTAGACTGGACAGCCAAACGACCTTCAGGACAAAGCCGGGGCTTGCAGGGCAGAGTCCCTTGCACTAATTTTGTGCACCGGGCCTCCAGTATAGATATATAATTAAGACAGTAAAGTTTTGGTACTGATAAAAAGAACACTTTAGATTGACAAAGTAATCTATTTAGTGCAAGAAACCAAGTCCTGCACTGCTTACAAAAACAGCAAAGCTAGGAATGGAATTTCCTTTGGCAACAAGGAACAGAGTTCTGGGCATACTACTCTCTGGCACTAAGGACGGAGGATTTTGTCTGGCAGGGATGAGTTAGATACTCAGAGTCCACACCTCCCTACAGAACCACCCCCACCTCAAGCACTGAAGAAGCAACAGGAAGACAAAAGTAGGCGTTTGATTTGAAGGGTGCACTGGAAATAAAAATGAAAAGAACAGCAGCTAAACTGTACTATAATACTTTCTCTGCACCGGGTTAGTGTTAAGGGCTTCATATATACTATCTCGTGGAACCCACAATCTCTGGAGGGAGGCATTATCTTTTTAGAGAGAAAGGCACAGAGGAATTAAGTAATTTGTCCAATGCAGGGAAATGGGAAGCTACAAAGCACCATCCTCAGACTTCCGTTGCTCTGTTTAGATTGAAGTATGGAGGCTACAGCAGTAATCCAGATGAGAAAGGATGGCAAGGAGGGTGGCAGTGGAGGTGATAAGGAGTGGTAGGTTTGTGAATTTGTTTTTCTAAATACATGTAGACTTCCTAACAGATTGGATATGGGATGTGACAGAGCAGAGGAGAGTCAAGGATGACTCCAAGGTTTTTGGCCTAAGCAACTACCAATTGGAAATAGACAGCTGCCATCAACTCAGTTAGGAGAGGTTCTGTGTTTCGTAGGTTTTTGGAAGATCATTAGTTCAGTTTTGGATATGCTAAGTTTGAGAAGTCTACTAGCCAATGAATGAAAATATCAAGTAGTTGGATATACAATTCTGGAGTTCATGGAAGAGGTCTGCGCTGGGATATATAAATTTGAGAATTATTAACTTAGAGATGCTAGGTGAAGCCTCAATACCTGCTGAGATAACTCAGGGGGGCTCAAGGAAGATAGAGAAGAGCAGAGCAGAGGACTTAAGACTGAGATATGGGGACATTCTAACATTTAAAAGTCAGGGAGATGGCCGGGACTGGTTTGGCTCAATGGATAGAGCGTCGGCTTGGGGACTGAAGGGTCCCGCGTTCGATTCTGGTCAAGGGCATGTACCTTGGTTGCGGGCATATCCCCAGTAGGAGGTGTGCAAGAGGCAGCTGATCGATGACTCTCTCTCATCGATGTTTCTAACTCTCTATCTCTCTCCCTTCCTCTCTGTATAAAATCAATAAAAAATATATATAAAAGTCAGGGAGATGAAGAACCAGCAAAGATGACTAATAAGCTATCAATGACATAAGAAAAAAATATATTTTAAGTCGTGTCCTAGAAGCCAAGTGAAGAAAACATATCAAGGAGAGAGTAATTGCCTAGCCCCGTGGTCAGTAAACTGTGGCTCTCAAGTCACATGTGGCTCTTTGACCCCTTGATTGTGGCTCTTCCACAAAATACCACAGCCTGGGCGAGTCTATTTTGAAGAAGTGGCATTAGAAAAAGTTTAAGTTTAAAAAATTTGGCTCTCAAAAGAAATTTCAATCGCTGAACCGTTGATATTTGGCTCTGTTGACTAATGAGTTTGCCGACTTCTGGCCTAGCTGGTTTGGCTCAGTGGATAGAGTGCTGGCCTGTGGGCTGAAGGGTCCCAGGTTCGATTCTGTCAAGGGCACATGCCTGGAGTTAAGGGCTTAATCCCTAGTAGGGGCTCTGTAGGAGGCAGCTGTTAAATGATTCTCTCTCATTATTAATGTTTCTATCTCCCTCTCCCTTTCTTTCTGAAATCAATTAAAACATTTTTTTTTAAACTAACTCATAAGAAAAAAGGAGGGAGTAATCAATTGTATCACAAGATATTGGGAGGTAAAAAAAAAAAAAAAAGACCATTGGATTTAATAACATGAAAGTCAGTGTGACCTTGACAATGTAAATTAAGTAGACTAGTAATTATGAAATTCTGAATGTAAGACAGAATAAAGGAGAAGGAATTGGAGACAGAGTAAAGAAAATGTGAGGTTTTTTGTTTTGTTTTGTTTTGTTTTTAAAAGAGAACACTAAGAATTTTCCCCTCAAGTCTTATTCTTTTTTTATTTTTATTGATTTCAGAGAGGATAGGAGAGGGAGAGAGGGATAGAAACATCAGTGATGAGAGAGAATCATTGATTGACTGCCTCCTTCACGCTCCCTACTGGGGATTGAGCCCACAGCCTAGGCATGTGCCCTGATCGGGAATTGAACTGTGATCCCCTGGTTCAAAAGTCGATGCTCAACCACTGAGCCAAGCTGGCCAGGCTGAGTTTTGATGTAAAGGGCAGCAAAGAAACAGAAGTCTGTGTGTGCATGTGTGCATATTAAGCTGAAAAATCACTAAGGGCAGCTGATTGGTGTTTCTTTCTCATCTATGTTTCTGACTCTCTAACCCTCTCTCTTCCTCTCTGTAAAAAAATCAATAAAATATATATTTTTTTAAACCACGAAGGGCATATTTGTTTATTGATGGGAAAGATCCTACTGGAGAGCAAAATCTGATGATGCAGGAGACATGGTGAGATGGGCTTGGTCATACGCGGGGGAAACATCTTCATACAGAGCACGGATGTTCACTTCTGTTACACAGACTTCCTATTATAATGGACTGGAGGCCCGGAGCACAATTTTGTACATGGGTGGGGTCCGGCCCACCCCAATCAAGGCTGATTGGGCTGGGCCCCCTGGTTGAACTCCTGGTAGGGGGGGACAATTTGCATATTAGGTTTTTATTATATAGGATTATATAGGATGAGGATATCAGGTCTGAATCACTTCCTTTCCTCTAGCTTCTCAAAAATTACACAATAGCCCTGACCAGTGTGGCTCCGTAGGTTGGAACCAAAAGTCCGTGTGTTCAATTCAAGTCAGGGCTCATACCCAGATTTAGGTTGGATCCCAGGTTGTGGTGCGTATGGAAGGCGACTGATGTTTCTCTCTCACACTAATGTTTCTCTCTCTCCCCTTCTCTCTAAAATTAATAAGCATATTTTTGGGTAAGCATTAAAAGAAAGTACACAACACTTTTTTGTTAAAGCCACATTCTGTATATTTTCATTATTATTACAATATAAATATTTATATAAAGTAAAAGTATAAATATCACACATTTACTTCTTTTACACAACTTGTGTGTATTTTAGCTGGGGTTAATAATTGCCTCAGACAGTTTTATATTAATAGAATATTTTTAGAGCAGTTTTAGGTTTATAGGAAAATTGAGCAGAAAGTACAGAGTCCCCATATACTTCCTTCTCTCTTCTACAGTTTCCCCTATTATTAACTGCATTACTGTGGTTCATATGCTACAATTAATAAATAGATATTAATGTGCTGTGATTAATAAAAGTCTTTAGTTTGCACTAGGGTTCGCTATTTGTTCTGTACTTTCTGTGTACTCTCCATTAAATAGAGTACAGAAAAATCCACTAGCATGAATCTCTCCTACT